CCTCCCTCCCTTCTCTTATACTCCTGTGGAACTCTGAGCTGTTTCAGATTCTGCCCACCCCAAAAGAGACAGGCTTCATCCACTTGAGCAGGATTGGAACTGCTCAGGTAATCCAATTTTTAAAAATCCAATACCTTAGAAAAAGTAATATTTATTGAAGAAAGTTAGAAAGCCATAACCAGAAGAATTTGAGCAACTGGAGTGATTCAAAAGCCAGCATAATTTATACAGAGACAAGGTTCCAACTTTGTAGCATTTCTTTTTCCTTCCTACCTTACATAAAGGACTACACAGCTTCAGATTTTGAGCAGGCTGGCTGGTTTCCATTTAGCCTTTTTGCAACGCTCAGAATTGTTCTTATCTTGTTTTTTTATTGACAGTGTGAGTAAAACCCCACACAAAGGAAGATTAGACCAAACAAACCTTGTCTGCCTCCTTGGTAATATTCTTAGTAAATTTAAGGCAACCCTCCTATTTCAAATGTATCTGATTTAGGGGGAAAGTCTACTTTTCCTTTCAGCCTTTATTATCTTTACTCTGTAGAGAATAAATTGACAATATGCTGAAACAAATAGCAATCAAAACTTGTTAATTATATAGATTGTGTGGAGTGCTTTATTTGACTGTAGCTTTGTGGTGCTGTCAGTTGAACTAATGTATATGCAGAATTCATGAAATAAGAGCCTATATACAGTATATGCAGATACTGTATTCATATTTTTGTTTGTGCAGAATAATCTAATAAAAATGATAGGTGCCTACTCTAATTCTTACTGGTATGTGGCTGTTGGAATTGTAGTGCCAGCAATTGGGAACAGGTGCCTTAAATTGCTTTGTCACCTTACCTTTGTCACCTGTCACCTTCCGTCAGTCATAAAACAATAATGAGTACCTTGAATAAGTGTTGAGAAAGTGAGGACATCAATCTCAATGGAAGACTTGAGGCATGAGTAACGTAAACCACAGGAGCTAAGGCAAGGAACATTTTGATTTTTTGAGACAGTTCTGGCATGCCCGAAAATGCGATGAAGCCTAAGAGGAAAGTTGTTTTTTTTTTTAAAAAAAAGTGGCCGTTTAGTGCTAAATAGAATCTATGAGTAACTCATTGGCCTAATTTCATGTGGTGCTCTCTGAAAGTTGCAAGTTGCAATCCTCTTGCAAAAAAAGGTCTGATTCCAAGAAAGTGTGAAGAAAAATAAAGAGAAGGGAGTACCAGAAGAAAGAAAAAGGGGAAGGGAGGGAGGGAGAAAAGCCAGCATGGTCATATCATGGAGCTTAGAATATGCTATTTCTACGGAAATATGTGGCTCTGGTCAAAAATCAAGGGCTGTGCTTTCTTTTAGAACAATCTATTGAGGGATTCACTCCATGGTAATGGTGACTGGGACTGAAGTGCATGGTGGCCCAGGCATTCTCTTTCAGTTAACCCCCTTTCCTAGGCTTCCGTTTTAATTCTTCTTTCTTGACAATCTAACTGAACAGGTTGTTGTTAACCCTAGTCAACCATCTGAATGAGTCCCTCATAAATAGGTTTTGGAAGGTCCCCGTGGAATTGTGATGTAGGCTACCTGCCCCTTCAGCTCCAGACTGCCCTCCCTTGTCCTAAGTAGCACCAAGGGACAGAGAAACTGATTTTATTGTTTTTTCAGGCTATTTTTTAACATTATCAGATAAGATTGTACATGGAACTTCTGCTTCTTGTAGTAATATGCAGGAATGTTTACATCAGCACCAAAAGAGAGACAGAGGGAGACAGAGAAAGAGAGAAAAAAAGAGGGGGGGGGGAAAGGGTTTTCATTTTATCATACCAATAGTAGAGCCTTGAGAATAGCCAACATAGTACAATTGTTCCTGTTTAGTTTTCTTTAAAATAAAGTTTATTGTTGCTGGAAGATCATACATGGCCATTTCATGGAAACTGAAATGAAATATTGAAAACTGTAATTGTAAACAAACAAACAAACTACACTTATAGTGTTTCCAAGCATTTCAGTAGAAGCTGCCTTCTACCTCTAACTCTCGAAGCCAGCCCATGATTGACAGTATCCAAAGCTGCTGAGAGATTAAGGAGCAAAACCCCGGCCCAGCATTCCTGCAGGTCATCAACAAGCACGGTGAATGCCACCTCCATACTTAACCTCAACCTAAAACCTGATTCAAATGGGGCCAAATAATCTGCTTTCTCCAGGGTCCTCTGATGCTGAAGCCTAACCACCCTCTCTGCCACCTTCCCTAAAATGGGAAGACTGGAAACTGGATGATCCAGAATCACTGGATCCAGTGATCGCTTCTTGAAGAGAGGGCACATCACAGCCTCCTTCAGGGCTAATTGCATCACCCCTTCACTGAAAGAGCCTGACACCATCACATGAACCCAATCACAGGTCACCTCACAAGTAGCTTTTACACCCAGGAGGGACCTGGTTCTAACAAGCATGTGGCCAAGCTAACAGACTCCCTGTCCACTTCCTTGGGAGTCACAGGATCAAATTTGCTTCAGATAACCATACAAGACTTTGCCCCAGGCACTTCGGCTGGAACTGATCAATCGGATTCCAACTCCGAGTGACTTTATCTGCTAAGAATAGCAAGAATATTCCTTGCAGCAGCCCTGGAGATGATCCTTCAGCCCTAGCAAGATCCGGGTCACTCTAAATAGGGCCTTTGGGCACCTACTAGCGGACGCATTAAGGGCAAGAAAGAACATTTCACTTCCCCTATCACCATGACATAATCCCTAATATGGGTTCTTGCTTGTGCTTGGCTGGATTCACTCTTTGTTCTTCTTCAACAGAACTTCAGGCATCTTTTTGCACACTTAATTTCCTGGGGCTCCTCAGGAAGCCAATGAATACACTGGGATCAGCTCAGGAAGAGAGGCTGCACAGAGACAATTGGAGCTAAGGCCCCAGCCACAAGCTGCCAGCAGGGCCTCAGCAAATAGTCCCCCAGACCCTCAAGGAAAACCTCAAGCTCCTACTAGAACCCTGTTGGGTCCATCAGTCAAGCTCCTTAGCATGGACCCATGGACTTAGATCCAACCCTGTTGGGTCCATCAATCAAGCTCCTTAGCATCACCCCTGAAAACCATGCTTAGGTACATGTTATTCATATAGCTCTATATGGGAATAGAGTTTCAACCTGTGACTCAAACTACCTGAAATTCCAAAATTCCTCTTGATCCACTGAAAAAGTCTGGTGCCTCTGAGACCAGCTCGTTCCTCTGCTGTTTCCCAACCAAACGTCATAGCCTGCATCCGCAAATATGAAGCCAAGGCTGTTGCTGGCCATATTCTTTACCCAGTGACTGGCTTCTCCAAACAAGCCATGTTGCAAAAGGACAACAGGTTTTGGATCTGTAAGATTTGTGGTTTATATATATATTTTAAAAAGATGTTACAGAGTAGAATTTTCAAGCCGTGGCAACAAAAACATTTTAAAGAAATATCTCTTACACTCTCCTTAAACATTCATAATATTGTAGTATTTGGAATTAAGAACTTTGTTATGTTTTGCTCACACATTATTGAATTCTAGACTACATTATATAACCAAGTATCCAAACTACCTGGATCTGACCATTGATTGTAGGAGAGGCTTATTATCTAATGTATCCATGAGGTTCATATAATAATACATTTTGGGATCCAGATGCTGACTCCCTTTTTAGCATGTTAAATCTTGAAAATGTACATATATCCTTCTGTCTTAGCATGGCTTTTAAAACTTTTATATCAGTTTAATAGATCCAAAATTGTCTTTGAGTTTTAAAAAACAGATACCTAAGACTGCAATGTTTTTTCTTCCCCAGGGAATTCTGTTTATTGTCAGATAATAGCCATCTTCTGTCAAGACTTCATACTCCTCATTTGGATATCCTTGGTGGGAAATCATTTGGCTCTGACAGAAGAAAAAAACAAATAACTCTTGAAAAAGATTGAAGTTATGTTTCTAAAGCTAAAATCAAGCACCAGCTGGTGGATCATGCACAACACTAAGTCCCTCTCTCTCTCTCTCTCTCTCTCTCTCTCTCTCTCTCTCTCTCTCTCTCTCTCTCTCGTGCACACACACACACACACACACACAATGATGAAGGGATGGAAAAGACCAGACTCCATGAACAGATCTTGAGTTGGAATCACTGGGGAAGGAAGACTGCTGCTTTCTGTTAAAATTAGCAATGGAGAAATAGTGATCCTTACATCGTATGTAAATATGTGTGTGGATATAGTGATAGTGGTGATACAATTTTTCCTTTAGAGGTAATCTTGATTACTAGGAATTCTGAGCAGTGTGATATCAATATTACATGAAAACTTCGCTCTTTAAAGAAGAATCTAATGCTGGGAAAGGTGGAAGGAAAGAGAAGAAGAGGATGACCAGCAGCAGGGTGGATGGACTCAGTTACAATGGTGATGGGTGCACTGTTGAAAGACCTGAAGGACCAGGTTAGGACAGATCATTATGGAGAAAATATGGTTGCTAAAAGTCAACAATGACTGAATGGTACATAATCGATCAATTGGTATCAATATGTCTGGAGGTTGGAAAAGAATAGTATTGATTTTGCTATAAGGGAAAGAACAAGTGGTCAATGTTGTCACTCAGAGGTTTGTTTCAGACCCCCTTCTACTTCATTATTTATAAAATATAGATCACGTAACTTACCACATTCATATAAGCCTCGGGGTTCATGACATGTTTTTGTCTGATAAAGTCTTCGGAGCCTGCCAATCCTTGTAGTAGGCATGCTATTACAATAAACTGCCACATTTTCTTTCTTTCTTTCTTTTTTTTCAAAGAGGAAAGAGAAACAGAAGAAATGAATCTAAAAAAAAAAAAAATCAGTACAGTTGACAAAATACTTGAATACATTCACTTGAATCCTGACTATAATTTTGAAGGCACTGAAGACGATGAATGATCATGAGCCTCTCTATCAGGACAGCAATGGCAGCAATGAGCTGCCACCATTCTTATCTTTCCATTTAACAACAGCTTTCTGAAAATACCTAGTAAGCTTAAACATCTCCCACACAATATTTTCCTAGCTGTCAAAACAACAAACAGCTTTGCTGAGAAATGACTAACATATAACTGATTTTCTCACAAAGCCTACCTTCCCTCACAAAATGAACCCTATCAGAAAAGTCAAATCAAATGTAGAAGAAATGAATATATTACCATCCAAAGTTGTCCTCCTGGGTTGTGAAGGGGAAAAATATTTGGTATAATACTTAGACCTTTGTAGATTAATATCTTCTTAGATGATACCAGCCTAGTCTGTTGCTAGATGTATCTCATGTCACATTTCACAACACAGTCATTTAAAACCAGTGTGGCATGGCATGAATACCGTGGGTGGTTTTTTTCAGATGTAGATGGTTAAGATACCACATTTGTGAAGGGCTTCATCGGCAACGCCCAGTTAATGTTGGGCTCGGTAAGAACAAAGAGAAAAGGACGGAGACAGTGCACGCATAAATGTAAAAAACAGAGTGTTGTGGTATTGCCCATACTTTATCTGGTCACTCACAAGGAACACATTGGGAAAAGTGAATAATCATTATGGAACTTTTTCGCTTTGTTTTGTTGTACCTCTTGTTGGACACTGAGAAACACATGCTTTAAATCAACATGATTTAAATTTTTAAATTAATTCATGAAGGTGCTCATCTTTTTGCCACAAAGATATAATGGTCACAGAAACAATCCAATCAAAATGTATAACAGCCATGGTTCATGTACCTCAATCTATGTCAAACAGTCTTCTTTGGATAGAACTAAGTTGTGTTTGCATAGAAGCCCACATGAGAATTTATCACTTGTAACCCTGGCTGAAGCAAATTTTCTGGGTTGAGTTCCTGTCTCAGTCTATCTCACTGATAAGCTTCTCTCATCTTGGATAAGTAATGTAGCCTTCTCAAGTTGTTCTCTTGTGGCCTTTCAGTCAAATCCCTGTTAATGCTTGAATCAGAGAAAGCTGTGTCAGAGGTCAAACAGACTTAGACTTGCAGAATAACAGATTGAAAGTTTCAGATTGTTGTTATGGGGGTGTCAGAACCTGCATCACCCAACTATTGTTGTTTTCCTTTGTATTGCATTCGATGGGAGTTGGATTGATTTGTTTCT